CCTGCCACTGCTGTGGCTGCTGCTGCTCCAGCTGGACACTCGCCTGTCTCCCTCCCCTCTTGGCCAGCCCTTCGATGTGTCCGTTTATTCATCTGTCTGATCTCCACCTGTCCTTCTTCCATCCATCCATCCATCCATCCATCCATCCATCCATCCATCCGAGTGATGGAACCCCAGCTGTCCATCCTAGCCCACCTGTCTCTCCCCAGCCCATTCTGCCCTCCGACCCTCGAAGAATCACTGTTGGTCACTGTCAGCCCGCTGTTTTACTTGCATGCGAGGGAGGTGGCTTGACCTGTTGGTTGCGTTAGAAAAGCCTTTATCAAAGAGAAAGGGAAAGGCGACAACTAGGTGCTCCTGGAAGTCTGGGCACAGTGACTGCCTTCTTCTGAGCTTGGGTGAGCGGTTGATTAATAGAGAGACCCAGGTAGGGCGCTCTGCCTTCCGGCCACTGGCAGGGTCCTCATTGAAGTCATTCATTTGTGGATCCCTGGAACACCTCGAGAGTTAACTGTGAAGCACACACCATGGGCAGCCTCTGGAAAGGGGCTGTCAGCGTCCGTGAGCACCTCCGCCTCACCTGGGCCAGGTGTGCACCTGTTGCTCAGTAGAGTTTCTCAGTGTCCACCCACCCACCCACCTACTCATACCCTCACTAGAACAGGCCCTTCCTCCCATCACCCCCCCTCACTTACCCATTCACCCATCTGTCCACCCATCTGTCCACCCACCCACCCACCTATCCACCCATCCACACACCATCCATATTGCAGATGCTTATTAAGTGCCTGGTGTATGCCCAGCACAGGTCAAGACCCTGTGGCTGGGGATACAGTGATGATACACACAGCCAATAGCTAAACTCAGAACAGCCTGGGAGGCTTCCTAGAGGAGGTGGCTTTGAGCTGGGCTCTTAAGTGGGTATGATTTGTGAGTTGGCACAGGGCAGGGACATATAGTTAATGAATTGAAGGCAGGAGGGTGCTTGGCATGGAGGGGTAGGTGGTGAGTAAGGGGTGTCAGGGCTAGCTGAAGCCTGCTGGGTGCACCAAGGTCTCTTCTGCTCTGTCTGGACACCCAGACCAGAGCCCTTCCCACTGCAGGAGAATGTGTGAGCCTGGGGGAGAGGCCTCATCCTCCCTCTGCCCCTTGCCCTCTGCCCCCTCCCCAGGTGCGGCTGACCCTCCTGCAGCTGAAAGGCCTAGAGGACAGCTATGAAGGCAGTGTGACCTTTCCAACTAGGAAGTTCACCATCAAGCCCTTGGGGTTCCTGTAAGTGCCACCCCCAGAGTGGACAGGGCAGGGGTGAGGGACACACACCTCATAGTCAGACAGACCTGGGCTCCAGTACCGGCTCTGCCACTTCCTGGCCACATGGTCTCAGACCGATCACCTACACCCCTAGAGGCTGAGTTTCCTCTGTGAAATGGGTCTGTAATAGCACTTGGGGCAGGCGTGGTAACCCTGTGGTGCCCTGGCCTCCTCAGCCTGTTGCAGATCTCTGGGGACCTGGAAGACTTGGAGCTGGCCCTGAATAAAACCAAGACCAAGCACACTCTAGGCAGTGGCTCCTGTTCTGCACTCATCAAGCTGCTGCCCGGTCACAGTGACCTCCTGGTCGCCCACAATACCTGGAACTCCTACCAGAGCATGCTGCGTGTCATCAAGAATTACTGGTTTCAGTTCCATGAAGGTCCCCAAGGTGGGTGGATGTGGATGAGTCTGTGTGTGAGCATGGTTATGGGCACATGGGGAGGGGGGTGGAGGAAGGCTGCTAAGAGATGTGGGCCTTGGCTTTGGACACACCGTGGTCACTGTAGGGCCATTCTAAGAGCTCATCTTATTTTTAACATGTTAATTCTCTCTTAGTTTTTATTTTGCAAGGTGTATCTGTTAGCTAGTGCTGCATAACAAATCACTCCCACATTTAAAACAACAAAAGCTTAAAACAGCCATTTTTTGGGGTCACATGTCTATGGGTCAGCTGGGTGGTTTTGTTGTTCTGGGGCAGACCTGGCTGATCTTGGCTGGCTCACTGATGCCTCCAGGGTTAGCCGGGGCCAGCTGGCTGACCCAGCATGGCCTCATTCCTGGGCCTGGGGGTTGGCTGTCAGCTGGCTTAATGGGGCAGCTAAGCTTCATGGCTAGCTCAGCACGCTAGCTCAGGCTTGTTCACATGACATGTGGGCAGTGTGGAAGGCCTCCCAAGGGCTGGTTAAACAACTGGCATAGCATTCAGATGCTCAGAGCAAGTCAGGTAACCAGCTCAGATTTGAGAGGTGGGGACTAGACCTCACCATTTGATGTAAGAACTGCAGGGTCACGTTGCAGTGGTATGGATGCAACATGGACAAAATCACAGCCATTTTTCAAACCACAGGAGAAACACACGAATGCACTCTCGCTGAATGCACTCAAAGTTGAAAACTTTGCAGTGCAGGCCCAGTACCCCAGAGTGCCTACCCCGTCCCTAGCCCCAGGGTCAACCCCAGAGGTAGCTTCTGAGATATGGAAGCAACCTGTGTCCGTCCATGGATGAATGGGTAAAGAAAATATGGCGCACACGCGCATACACACAAGTCAAATGCCTTGTTTGCTAAATAGCAGAAAGAAAGGTGTGGGGGCGTCCTCTGAGGCCTGCTACTCCCCACCTGGAGACTCCCAAGTGTCGATGGGTGGGGAAGCAGGGCCCCCACATAGGTTTGTCTGACCAGTACCTCCCCACCCTGGCCCTGGCCCTTTACAGAGGGCTCTCCCCTGGCTCCCGGCAACAAGTGGGCCTTCTCGTCCTACCCCGGCACCATCTTTTCCTGTGATGACTTCTACATCCTGGGCAGCGGGCTGGTGAGTCTCCCTCTCATGTCATTGTCCCCCCGGGGCTGTGTAGCCCCCACCACCATCCCAGGGCCGAGGCCAGTTCTCTCGTGATGATACTTAGACCACTGGGTGGAGCTTCTTTTAAAAAAAAAATTATTCAATTACAGTCGAGATGCAATATTATATTCATTTCAGGTGTACAACATAGTGATTAGACATTTGTATAACTTACAAAGTGATCACCTGATAAACCTAGTACCCATCCGTAGTGTGGGGCTTCTTAAATGCAGATTTCCAGGCCCACCCGGGCCCCTGGAACCTGCAGTCGGCCTGGGACGCTGCATTGTAACACAGCGCCTCAGAAATCGCCCTTCTTGGGGCCCTGATGAAATAGCCTTGACCTCAACGACCTCGTTTTGTTCTCAAGTATTTAGGAGAAGCTGTCCCTCCCGAGAGACCTTGTCTGAAATACCGCCTCCTCTCTTGCTCTCCACAAAGCCCCTCTAACCTGGCCAGGTTTTTGGAATAAATGTTGTTTACAGTGTGTTGTTTTTATCGGCTTTCCTGGCTGGGATCCAAGCTCGTTTAGAAATCTGTTCCTGGCGTCCCTCCCTGAGGCAGTGAGCCCTGTGATCACCAGGGCAACACTGCAGAGGAGGAAAAAGTCGGCCATAAAGACGCCAAGTCCCTGGAGTGGGGGAGGAGCGGGGGAGGGCAGGGGGGAGGGCTCTTTCCTATTAGTGTTGGAGGGGAGCGTGGGATTTAGTCCCCTTGAGTTGAAACAGGCATGGGAAGCCCAGGCAGCCAGTGAGGGCACCCCCTTGCTGCAGTCCCTGAGGGGACAGTGGGGTACAACGATCGAAATGGTTGAATCGTTACCTGGAAAGTGCCCAGGTGGGAAATGACCTCCCATCCGGGTCCTTGACTGGTTTTGTGCCACAGACCCCTTCGGCTGTCTGGGGAGCCATGAGCCCCACCCCAAATAATGTTTTTAAGGGCGTAAAGCAAAATACATGGCATTACAAAGGAAACCCGTTATATTGAAGTGTGTTTATATTGTCTAAGTCAGCCCGAAATATTTGTGCTGCTTTAAAAGTACGTGAAATAACGAGATGTGGTAGCAGGCGCCTGCCATCGGTTAGAGGTAACGAGGAACGGAAGAATATTTTGAGACGCATGCAGCCCTGTCACGTGCTGGGAAGACGTGTGATTTCTGTTGGTGACGGTCTCAGGCACTGCTCATACCTCTGTGGTGTGTCCCCTGCGTTAACAATGGAGGAGACGCCGAATTTCGGTTTGACATTAGTGGAAATAAAAATGTGATGCTCCCCCGTTCAAGTCGCGTTACGAGCTCCCCAGGCGGAGAGGGGGGTGTCTAACAGACAAGCGGCCACATATCCTGCTCCAGGGGGACAGGCACTGACTTGAGCGCTGGAAGTTTGGGGATCGAGTCTTGGCTCATCCGCTTGCCAGCCATGACCTTTGGCAGGTCTCTTAGCTTCCTCGGTCCTCAGTTTACCTGGCAGCCAGAAGCGGCATTGACAGCCACGCTGTATTTTCCCAAGAGGGCTGAGTCCATGGAGATTATGGTCGTCCGCCCGCCCACCTTTCCCTGTGAAGTGCAGGGAAGGGGTGGAAATGGGCCACTATCTCTCTGGGACGAGTTGACTGGCTTGGGGGGGCAGGGAGGATCCATAGGAACAGCACCCCAGGCTCTTCAGAGGCTCGCCCCCAGGGTGAAGCTGGATGTGTGATGGTGAACCCCCCTCAGTGCTCACCCAGGACCCGGCGAGGAACGTGCATCCAAACCAGAACTTGAGGTTTTAAAACTGTCAGTGAACCTGTGAGCTGTGACCGCTGCAGCACCGCCACTTGGTGGCAGCATGGCCCAGTTGCGTCAGGTCAGAGCAGCCACCCTTCGGCTCCCCCACAGGTGACACTGGAGACCACCATCGGCAACAAGAACCCAGCCCTGTGGAAGTACGTACAGCCCAACTGCGTGTTGGAGTGGTTGCGGAATGTCGTGGCCAACCGCTTGGCCTTGGACGGGGACACCTGGGCAGATATCTTCAAGAAGTTCAACAGTGGCACGTGAGTGGCCGCCTGGCACTGTTGCCTCCCTACCCAAGAAATGGACCAACCTCCCCCCTAATACTCAGACTCTCTGCATACCCCTCACCCCTGCAGAGCCCTGTCATGGATTCTCATTAGAGTCCCCTCCCTTGTTTTATACATGGGGAAACTGAGGCTCGGGGAAGGAACACATTTGCCCCTCTCTTGCAGGCTTCTCCACCCAGGAAAAGGTCCCCAGGGGAAGGACAGGAAGATAATTTGGAACTTGAGAGCTCTGGGGACAGTGGGGAGGGCCATCTGAGGAGGTGGACGTGAGTGGCTGAGGGCCCTGTGAACCAGAGACACTGGATCTGGATAGTGTTGGGCCTTAGAATGCCAGGCAGATTGACCTTCGTTTCAGCAAGCACTAGGGAGCCATAGAGTCCTCTGGACCAGGCAGAGAGCATGTTGAGAGAGGAGTCTGAGCACACCCAGTCTAGCTGCAGCACCAGAGTGATAGCCGGATGGCCAGACACCCCCAGGCTACCTGTGCCACCGGAGTCCTGGCTATGTGGAGCGCTGGGGCCAGGGGAGGCTGGGGAGCAGCCCAGGGTCCCTTCAGCCCTCTTTCCTTCACCACGGCAGGTACAACAACCAGTGGATGATCGTGGACTACAAGGCGTTTGTCCCCGGCAGGCCCAGCCCTGGGAGCAGGGTGCTCACCATCCTGGAGCAGATCCCGTGAGTCCCCGGGGAGAGAGGGTGGGGTGCTCCCGGCAGAGAGAGCAGCCCAGGCAAGGACCAGGGGGCGTGCTGAGATGTGTGTGGGGAGAAAAAAATCCAAGGAGGGCAAGGTTGTAATAGAAGGCAGTCCTGACGGGCTAAAGATTCAGGGCATAGTCTACCTCCAGGCCGTGGGAGCCATCGAGGGTCCTTGAGCGGGGCAGGGCCCACACGAGCCCTTCTCATCACTCCTGCTCCATCTCTCTTGGTCCCAGGGGCATGGTGATGGTGGCTGACAAGACCTCGGAACTCTACCAGAAGACCTACTGGGCCAGCTACAATATACCGTACGTGTCCCTCTGTCCTCCACCCCGCCCTGTACCTGCCCCACCCCTTGCCCAGCTCTCCCTGCTTGTGGCGGGCCCTTCCCAAGTGATGTCTAAACCCACAGAGCCGAGAAAGCCACCCCGCCCCTTCTCTGGTCAGGAAAGCCCTGGCAGTGTTGGGGTATAGTAGTGGGGCTTGGTCAGCATCCAGATGACCTCCCCCTGTGCAGGGTGAGGGGAGGTGGCCCATCTCGGGCACTGACCCTGCCATGGACCCAGCTGGATCCGCTTTAACTGGGCTGCTCCTCTGTCCCCTCTGGACACTCACTGTGCTTCACTTGGGTGAGGCATTTGGTCCTTACAACTCGCCAACCATAGCTCCTGTTCCCATTTCTCAGATTATGAAACTGAGGCCCCAAGAGTACCTCACTTTCCCAAGATTGCTTAGCTGCTCAGTGATGAAGCCAGGATTAGAAGCTAGGTCTCTTGGGCCCCTAGAGCCCGAGCTTGGCCACCCTGCCTAGGCCCCCCCCC